AATTCCGAGCGGCGATTTTTAAAACGCTGCTAAAAACAAATATATTATATAAATATATTTATTAAATAATTTAACTATGATACGATGATAAATATACTATATACATTTATTTTTTAATTATTTAAATAACACACCTACTTAGCAGAGCCATAAAAAATACACGATTTTTGTTTTTTCATTACAATGATTTAACTATAGTGTGGTGACTGTGGTCCCTCCATAACTATGATTAAAGTTTAATTTCTTTAATTGAAATGAGGCTCGTGGAAATTTGGATTTCACGACTCTGTTGTATTTACGGTTTAGGGAAGGAAGAAGGAACCTCTGTATTTACGGTTTAGAGAGAGAAGAAGGAAGAACGAAGGAAGAGAATAAAATATTACTGGGTTTATAGAGAAAAGAAGGAAGAAGGAAAAGGCAATCGGCTTGACAAACCTAATGGAAGAAACCCTAACTGATTTTTTAGAGAGAGAAAACGACAATGGTATGGTGATTTGGGATATTTTGAAGAGGATTTTTCTTTAGAGAGAGAAAAGGCAGATGGGATGGGATGCTGATTTGGGTTATTTTGAATAGGGTTTTTCTCTGATTTTTAGAGAGAGAAAAGGAAGATAGATGGGATGCTGATTTGGGATATTTTGAAGCGGGCTTTTCTTTGATTTTTAGAGAGAGAAAAGGAAGATGGATGGGATGCTGATTTGGGATATTTTGAAGAGGGTTTTTCTCTCTGATTTAGGATGTTGTTTGAGATAAAGCCCTAACTATACTAATTTGTGAAGAGGCCCTAACTGATTTTTTGAAAGAGAAAAGGAAGAGGGTTTTTTATTTTCTTGGGGAAACAGCATGCAGAGCTGAAGGATTAGGTATGAGGAACTCCTTTAAGTTTACAGTTTATTCCATATTGTTTATCTTTGTTATCACATAATCCAAAACAAACTATTAATTACTTGGTCCTGAAGTCACACTCTCTGCTTCTCATTCATCAGTATATGTTTTGAGATCTAATTTGTGCCATAAACAGTATTTTCATAAAAACAATTATCAGAAATAATCACAGAAATATGCATGTTTATGATTTTCTTTACACAATGATTTACTTTACAAAATGATTTGCTATAAACAGTATTTCATTTACACAATGATTTTCCATAATAACAACTGAAATCTGCATCTATTTGTTTAAGTTTTTAAAAAAAGAGAAAAAAAATCATACCTTCAATCTGCAACTGTGGCTTTGAAGAACTCAGTGTTGATAAAAATTTCTATTTTAGGTTTTTTTTTGAAATAATAATTTTTTTTCAAAAGCATGAAAGTAGCAATGGCTGCAATGCACAAATATATATATCTTTCAAAAAATATATACGATTTGTTGGCCTGATTTAAATCGTAATATAAAAAAACACGTTTTAAATGCTTTTATGAAAACTACGCTATTTTTTCCCGACCTTCTTCAAAAATTTTTAAAACTGTTTCCATAAAATTGCCGACTTTTGAAAAAATCGCTGATTAAACAGCAATTTGCTAACTATGCTCTCTACACAGTGGGGCTCCCTCCAAATACACAGTAGGCATGTCCATCTCCAAATGCCCTTCTTCCTCTCCTCTTACCATGCCACTCTCGTCACCTCTTTCTCTCTCATTCCAAACCCCTCTTTCTCTCTCATCCAGAAACTCTCTTTCTCTCACATCCCTACTCTCCTCCTCGTTGTTTCTATATGCAAAGCTCTCATCAATGGTGGCACCACCGAGTTGCAGAAGCTCCCCATTGTCCTCTCTCACTCCCTTGTATTGCAAGTCCTCAAGAAAGACCTCAACCCACATAGGAAAATGGAGTTTTTCCGATGGGTTTCTTCCCAAACAGGTTACAAGCCCTCGAACGACGCTTATTCTCTCATGGTTCAAATAGTTTCTCGGAATAAGGACATTGACTCTCTAAGGACACTGATGCATTCCATGAAGACAGAGAAAATGGTTCTTGACTCTCGCTCTTTCAAGCTTATGCTCAACTCCTTTGTTTCGTCAGGTAATTTCGATCAGGCTCTTGAATTACTCCAAGACATGGAAGAAATTGGTTCGAGCTTGAGTCCCCAGATTTACAGTTCAGTCCTTCTTGCTTTGATTAAGAAGGAGCGTGTCGACTTGGCATTAACATTGTTTCATAGTGTTCTCAAGGGGGGCCACGTTCTTCTGAGCTCTGTTGCCTGCAACCAACTTATGGTGTTTTTGAGGAAGAGAGGGATGGTGGTTGAGTTTAAAAGGGTTATCTCAGAGCTGAGAAATCTGGGTTATCAATTCGATATTTGGGGTTACAATATCTGTATTCATGCTTTTGGGTCTTTTGGTGATTTGGGTTTCTCTTTAGAACTCTTTAGAGAGATGAAAGAGAAGAGTTGGAACCCTGATCTTTGCACTTACAATACTTTGTTGCGTATTCTCTGCAATTCCAGTAGGCTTAACGATGCTTTGGCCATTGCAGAGGAGCTTAAGAACTCTGGTCATGATCCTGATGGTTATACTTATCGTATATTAATTCATGGGTGTTGTAAAGCTTATCGTATAAATGAAGCTTTGAAGCTTTTTAGAGAGATGGAGGTCAATACTCGAAACACTGATACTGTAGTTTACAATTGTATGATGGACGGGCTCTTCAAAGCTGGGAAGGTCTCAGAAGCTTGCAATTTTTTTGAGAACATGGTTCAAGAAGGGATTAGACCCACTTGTTGGTCTTATAACATTTTGATCGATGGGTTGTTTCGAAATGGAAGAGCTGAGGCCGCTTATACTCTCTTCTGTGATTTGAAGAAGAAAGGCCAGTTTGTTGATTCCATTACATATAGTATAGTTATATGGTATCTATGTAAAGATGATAAAACTGAGGCCTCTTTGGAGCTTGTTGAGGAAATGGAGGCTCGAGGATTAGTTGTAGACTTGACTGCCATTACCACTCTCTTGATGGGGCTGCACAGGACTGGAAGGTGGGATTGGGCTGAGAAGCTTATGAAGCATGTGAGAGATAGTAGCCTGGTTCCAAGTTTGATAAGGTGGACTACGGAAATGGAGTCTTGTTTAAGAGCTCCACAAGATAGAGCAAAGGACTTCGAACCCATTTTTCAATTTGAAGGTGGTGAAAGAGAAATTGTGAATCTCATAAGTTATGATTCTGGTTCAGAAGACAAAACCCAAATTAGAGATGAGAAAGAATCTGACATCTGGTCCCCCTCTGTGCACTTGGATCGATTAACAGATAAGCCTAGCGCTTTACATGGGACTCGACAATTTTCGTTGTATAGAGGAGTAAGAGTACATGGCAAGGGGTTTGAGTCCTTTGACACTGATATGGTCAACACATACATGTCTGTCTTTTTGGCTAAGGGAAAACTGAGCATAGCCTGTAAGTTGTTTGAGATCTTTAATGCAATGGGTCACAAACCAGTAAGCTACACTTATAATTCCTTGGTGAGCTCATTTGTGAAGAGAGGCTACTTTAATGAAGCTTGGGGTGTTCTTTGTGAGATGAGAGAGAATTGTCCAGCTGATATCGCAACATACAATGCAGTAATTCAGGGTTTAGGGAAGATGGGTAGAGTAGATTTGGTTTGTGCAGTCCTTGACCAACTGTTGCAAACAGGTGGTTACCTTGATGTTTTTATGTATAATACTCTGATACATGTACTTGGGAGAGGGGGTCGACTTGATGAGGCCAACAAACTATTTGAACAGATGAAATCAAGTGGTATCAATCCTGATGTGGTCACTTATAATACACTAATTGAAGTGCATAGCAAGGCAGGTAGGGTGAAAGAAGCTTACGAATATCTGAAAGCGATGTTGGATGCAGGTTGCCCTCCTAATCATATCACAGATACTATACTTGATTTTCTAGAGAGAGAAATTGAAAAATTGAGGTATGAAAAGGCATCTATGAAGCGGGTTAAGGATGGTCCCTCTTGACTTCCTTTGTTGGTATTTATCCAATCCCCTTTCCCATTTATATGTGGGCAAGAGGTTGAGGCTTGTGTCTTTGCCCTGAACCACAAAGAGGGAAAAAACTCCAAACTCTAAAAGGTGCTTCTAAGAGTTCCTTTAACTGAATCATGGTTCCCATACTTCTATAGCTTTCTGCTGCATTTCTTGGAAGTCCTCGTGTTCAGGTGAGGCCCCTAATTATTTGGCTATGGGTAGTCTTCACTAAACATTAATCTCTTTTCTCTAATACATTAGGCAATCAGCCAAAAGTGTTGTGTGCATGTTTTGACTGTTTGAGCCAATAGTTACAAAACTTTCCTACAATTCATATGTTCATATGCACTATTCCTTATGAAGTCTTTATTTCATTTCATAGCAAAACTTCTGCTATAAAAAAGGCTGCCATTTTAGTGTCAAAGCTACTTGTTCTTTGATTAATCCTTTCCTGATACCTGTTTTATTAATGAACAATTTTTTTTGATATTCTACACCACCCAAGCTTCCATATCAATGAGGAGTGGTGTGCATTCTTTTTGGTTGGAAGATATAATGACCCATGACATAGAACTTATTGTAGATGTAACTTTGAGTGGTACAATATGTAGAACTGAATTTATGGAGCTTTTCCTTGACTAAAAAAAATAAAAAATTGAGCATTCTCCTGTAATACAGCCCATCAAGATGGATGCAGAAAGTTATGATATGGTACGTTAATTTCAACTGATTCAAAGGGTCTTTTTCCTCTGCTCTTTTGAAAATCTCATGCCTCTTCCCTTTGGATTGCTCATGGTTTGCAGATGGTCCTTGCTATGACTTTCTCATGAATGAAGTGGTAATCAATTTCAATGTGCTTGGTTATCGAACCAAAGTTTGGGTACAAAGTGAGATAAATCACTATGTTTTATGACCATTGTTTGTTGCAAAATAGAAGAGTAATCGGTTGTGATGTTGAATGAGGTACCTCATATTGATAGCCTTGGCAATGGGCTCGCCTATGACATTCTGCTTTAACACATCAGCCAAGTTATGTTTGAAGATCATTGGAGTAGCCATCTTAGTAAGTATCTAAGGAGGTTCACCACCCCAAGGGGACTACTACAGGGCAGAACGCTATCTGTTATAACCTTAACATATATGAGAATTCAGTGATAATAGAAGAATCTAAAAGAAAGAAAGAACAATTATGAGGGTCCACTTTGTTTTTACCTTTTTGTAATTAGTTTGTATACTTGATGCTGCTGTGTGGTTGCAGGATTATGCAAAATTGTTGGACAAGATTTTAGTGTCTGTGCATTGTCTTTAAACACATTGTCTACATGTTTAAAGATTTGACAAGAGTGCCAGACTAAAATGGTCGGAAAAACGGCAACACTCTTTTAAGTCCATATTAGGTTTTGGAATGTTCACAAACCTGTTTGGCATGTGCTGAATAATTTAACTTGGGTGGGTGCTACTTATATACTTTCTTATCTTGAGTTAGTTTATTCCCAGTATACATAACTTTGAGAGGTGAAAATTATGGAGTAACACTAGGTTAAAGGTTTTGTTAATGCTAATTCATGTTGATTATCACCTTTAGTCACTAATTGTGCCTTACAATGTTCACTGATTCTACTTGATCTTAGATATCTGTTAACTGTCCACAAAATTTAGTTTAGAGATTTGAGGGATATGTTACTATGTCCAGTATTGATTCAAAAGCGGTCCGCCCAATATGGGGTATTTTTTGTTTTTTTTTTGTTTTTGTTTGGATCATAAAATATGTATGAATATGCATTTTTTATACAAAATTTGGACCTAGAACATGATTACTGGAAACCGCTTTCCCCCTATCTCTAAGGCCACCTAGGCAGCTCCCAACATTTTCTGGAACACTGATGTTCAGTATTCTGGTGAGTTTCTATCTTTTCTGGAATGACTTTCTTTTTAGATGGTCGCACCCTGTGATTTAAAAAGGCAAGGGGAAGTCCCAAAAAAGCGGACGCACCAAATAGTTGGGAAAATACTCCGATGATGATGATGAAGGGGAAAGCCAAAAGTGACATTGATAGAAGTAGTGAGAAAAAATATAGTGACTTTTGGTCTTAGTGAGGATATGACTCTTGATAGAGAAGAATGGAGGAACAAGATTCACGTAGCTGATATCAAATAATTGGGATAAGGTTTGGATGATGATGATGAACGAGCTTGGACTCCTTATAGGTATTTGAGTGAAAATGCTAATTATAGAAAAGATGTTGACGAAGGTCAGATGGGAATGAATGTTGAAGAAACACAAAGACCATAGTTGCCGTCTGTACCATGAAAGAGAATGTGGAGCACAAATGGTGAGAAATACTAAATTACCTCTGGAAAATTTATACCCATACACATTATATTTTATATCCTTACAGACGGTGCACAAAAAAAGTGCATCAAGGTGTTGAGTAATATATACTGTAAATTGTTCATTTGTTGCTGAGTTGTTTAATGGGACACAGTTGTTGATTTAATTTTTTTAAATTGTGCGGTTTTTTATGTTTACTTTGTCATTTAGAAATGATAGAGAAGGCGCAAGTCTAATGGTCAACTGGTGGTGTTTTTGTATCTTCGGGTTCTATGAGATATTTTAGAGGCTGTTGGCCATGGTTGGTTGAGGGTGACAAGTGCCATGGAAATGTTTACCAGTAATTTATGGAGTTTTTAAACTTGATTATCTCTTTTCTTTGATTTTAATTCAATGCAACTGTAGAGGGATACTTTCAAGCAATGTTTAAGCACTTGCCTGAGCCGACTTGGACCTGGGGTTGACAGCTTAACAAACCCAGAGCAGGCGAGTATTATAGTGACATGCCCAACTACTTGCACTAGTTTGAAATCCACCCCTCCTTTTTTTGTTTTAATAATTTCAAACCTATAAGCTAACCTATTTGAGCCAAATTTGAAACCCTAGTTAGATTTTAGCTAGAGCTGCTGATTATATATAATGGATTTGACAAAAAAAAATCATATTTTATGGATTCTTTAATATAAAAAATAGGCCAGGTTTTTTTATTATTTCAAAAAATTCTGATTTCTTCATAATCGATTGTCAATGTTTGATCGCTAAGCCTAGTTTTATGTTCTTGATCTAAACGTAGGCTTTATTTTTACAAAAAAGAAAAGATATTCAAAATATTAAGAGTTGAGAGATTTGAAATTTGGATTTATTATAAAATTTTTCAAGAGTTCCAAACCCTTAGATCCTGACTTGAAAACCAAGATTGGTTTGGGAGTTGTGATTGAGGTTGTCCAAGGGAGCTTTGATACGGATTGGAGGCATTGGTTCGTACCAAGCAAGGAAGATTGGGTGACCAACCTCAGAATTTCCGTTAAATTTCATTTTTCAATTTAAATTGATATATTTGATTTTTTTTTTTACTTGGTCAATTGTACTTGATTTATGATGATATTATGATATTTTTATTTTATCATGAATTTATTTTATCTTGAATTTTGTATATTGCTATACTTTGTATTTATTTACAATATTTTATGAATTTCAATTGTTTTTCTTTTCCCCCATATTTTTGGATTTTTCCCTTTATTTTCCACCAAATAACATCATTTTTTTTATATTTAATGGTTTTTATAGTTTTTTTATTAGTATAGTTTTTAGTTTTTTACTATTATTATGATTTCTAGATATTCCTTTCCGAAATTTCTTAAATTTGGGGCCTTTTTTGGCCCTTACCTTGCCACTGGTGTGACTCGGCCAAGTGTGAGTTGAGTCACCAGAGTAACGTGGCTCAAGCAGGGGTTGAGTCATTGCCCGAACAGGTTATAGAACACTGCTTGTAAGTTGTAGCAAGGTATATTGTCAACATGATTATGAGGGTGTTTTAATCACTTTGATTTTGTATATGTCTTTGGTTGCGAAGATGGCTAGTGGATAGAGCTCCTTTTAGCCACAGCTGATCTATTTTTTATGGTATTGGAGTTATTCAATTACAGCTACAGCCTTCAGTCGGAATAATATGATCATTTGTGTCCCCTTCTGGCATTAGATTTCTTTGGAATTTCACCGTGAGATTCAACAACACAAGTTGATAATTAGTAAGAACCAATTTTTGCATCGTGTTTATTTCATGCAAGAAATTCGTATATTTGTATATGTGACCTTCAACGTACTTAAATACAGAGGACCTTTGTTCAATGAATCAATAATCAATATGAGCCTATTGAGGGTGGTAAGAGATTTGTTTTAAAAGTTCATAGAAATTCTGTTCGAATTATTTCATTTTCATTTGTTTTGGTTGCAAATATACATACTGGTCTTTGCACGATTGGGATTAGGTTGATCTAGCTGGGTTCTTTATTTCTCTCAATATAGTTTGTATCATGTAAAACATAATGAAGCATGAAATATTTGTTTCCTTCCTGATCATTGGAAAACTAAAATGATAGTGTAAAACTGGTTCATGTGTATAAAGCATGTCCAATGAGCTGGAAACTATATAAAACGTCTGGCTAGATTTGTCGAGAACAGTTCCATACACTACATAGCAACATTTTGTTGCACAAGACCAAGAAAGACACATATTTTATACTATTTCCTTCTCTCTTATCTGTATGCTCTGTACCATTCTATCCTTGCAACTCATGAGTCCTGTTGAATTCATTACAATAATTATAAAAAGCGCTAAATTACAATAATGTTCATGTATTTTGTGATACCCACTTTGTGCTATTGACTCATGAAAAGTTAAACTGCCCAATGGATGTGCAAGGTGCATTCTTCTAGGCTTTGAAATGCATCAATAGGTAGTTGAATTCCTATGATCATGGATTTAATCGACTTGGGAGTATCGTCTCATATTGATTATCTTGGTGTCTGTGACTCGCTTGTCTCATTTCTATCTTCATCTTCTTTGGTAAAATTTTGAAACCTAATCGAGCCAATATTTCGATTGCTACGTGATTCTGACTCTGTTACTTGAAGACTCTCTATCTAGATTTCTCCGAGAAAAGAAGAAAAATGGACTTTGCAGACTTGTCATAAGTGGTATATCCATACAATCTATCTATCAACTAAAGTAAAGCTTATCAACTCATTGGCTACGTATATCAACATCAAAGAGCAAAACCATTCCTTATTCTTGTTATTTTCTACTACTCTATCATCACCTTTGCTTTGTTTCAAGTTCTTTGACTTCTATAAGGATTGTTCTGTTTCCTTGTTATTTTAGTTATTCTAGTGAACCTTGTGCCCATAAAGACTTTGTGAAGAATGATCATGCAAGGATAACTAATGCAAAATAAAACTGACACTTGTAGCACTTCCTACTGATTAAGAAACTGCTGGATGTAAGATGGTTTATAAGGTAAAGATTGTAGCCGATGGATCTCTTTCTAGCAGATATAACGGTTTGCTGGTGGTCAAGCGACTTATTGAAAGGTATGGAGTTGATCATGAGATCTTTGTATGGTTTGTTTAGCTTAGTGATAAGTTATATTACCAATTTTTCTCGTCTGTTATCTGGGAATTATGGGCTTAAATAAGTACAAATATCTTGGATGGTTTGTTTTCTGGCTAGTGTTCTTTATGGACAATCATCCAAACAAACTTTTATTCAGTGTTGATGATGCTACGATAACAGTTATGCACTGCACCAACAACTTCTGAGAAAATATGGGTAATTGGTGATATTTCCTACTATTCGTCGTGAGGTATATTGAGATATCATTGTTGGACCCTGTTTCTTGACAGATTTCCTTGGCCGCAGTAACAGTTATATCTAGCCACTATTTGTCACCATGATATTATTTTCATCTCTGTCTAAACCTATGTTTTCTATTGGGTAAGTTTCTTTTAGGCGTAGGATTTATAAAAATAAAGTAAAGCCTTAACTTGAATCCTCATTTTGGAAGCACTTTGGGCATTGTAATGTGACGGCTCTAAAATCCAACACCAACTATGAACTTTGAAGCAAAAAAAATAGTACAAATCTTGTGGAATTGTGAACACTTGAAAATGGACAGTCTAGATAAAGTTTTATAATAAGAAATATATGCAACGAGACCATTCATTTTTTATACAAGGAGGATACCGAATTAGCCTCTTTCACAACTTCATCATTGACCATTAGATTCAAAGTTGGCTGGTTGAGGGTGTGTCATTGAGTGAACACAAAGTCCAAAATAAAATTTCACGAATGTTGTGACACGCTTTTAGCTATTAGACTTTACATCCAATTGTTAAAATTGAAAATCAATAGTCTCATACTATTTATGAGGTTTTGGAATCTTTTGGTTTTTTTTTTCCCACAACCATAATAGTTAAGATGTTGAAATGATCAATTAGGTGGAGTAAAATGATTTTCAGTAGATGGGGGTTTTGATGTCAGTGTACCTTATGTTAAGAGTGTAAATCCATTTATGGTCCTCTCAACTTAAATCACATATGAGGCACATTTGCACATTTGCTCCAATGAAAATTTCGATAGAATTCATCTAAAACCATGTAGAATCACACAATTTTACCAATGAGAAATTCAATGGAATACAATAAGTACAGGAATGTTATCCATTGCCTAGGGAATGAAAGCATCACAATCCCATGTAGCACTAAAGGACACCACTGCCTGGATTTTTTCCAAAAGAAAAAAAAAAAAAAGTCTTGGGTTTTTAATGGAGGAAAAGTGAAATTACATCTCCTTCAAATTGTACACTCCCTTCTTGTGAGGATGATTTTTTTAGATCTTAAATTTTGGGATCCATCTAATATCATTGAAATGATTATTTAAAAAAATAATTAGAATTTGAGTTCTTCAACACTCACTCTTACGGCGTGTTTGATAACAGGAAGTGTCTTCATGGAAGTTGAGAACTTCTTAGTACGGTTCAACTTTCGTGTTTGATAAAAAATGAGTACTTCAAATAAGAACTTCAATTTACTGTTCATCTTCTCACGTCCTTTTGTAAAAAATGTTCCGACCCAAAGGTCGGAACTTAAAATTGGAAGTTCGTAACTTCCTCCCCTTTGATAACCCTAGCCTCTTTTCTCTTCTTCGCCTCTGAGCACCCACCCCGTTGAGCACCCACCCCGCTGAGCACCCCTCTCTTCGTAGCTTCCCATCTTCACCGTTGAGCACCCCTCTCTTCGCAACATGACCCCTCTCTTCGCAGCACGACCCCTCTCTTCTGTTCTTCGAGTTCAGCCGCTGAGCCGTCGGCTTTCTCAGTTCTCTCTTTGATAAAGCTCTCTCTCTCTCTCTCTCTCTCTCTCTCTCTCGCAAGAAGAACACATCTGTCTTTGTCTCTCGCTCTCTACATGTCGCAGAGGAGGAAGAAAGAAGCAGGTGCGCCTCCCAGGTATGATCTCTCTCTCTCTCTCTCTAGAGATTCAACTGCAATGGTTTATATTCCCTCTTAATGCTTGTGGACTTTATTCTAGAGAGAGGAAAAAATATTACAGAGAGAAGAAATGTTGGGTCTGGTTTTGATTTGTATGGTAACAACTGCTATCATTTGGCTCTTCTTCAAGTTTTTCAAAGCAGATGGTACCCTGCTGCTTCTTTTTTCATGAATTGTTTTTTTGTTTCCTTTTCATTGTATATATAATTTTTTTGGAACTTTTTTTGTTTATAAATCCTCTGAGAGTGCAAGAGTTTCTTAGGGTTTTTCAGATATTTGGGATTTCCAAGTCTTCTGTATAAATAAGAGATTTTTTGCTGGCTAATCATTTGAATTGGTTTATTTAATTCTATTAATGCCTTGTTTTTTTTGGCTCATAATAGAGGTGAATCTACAGGCCAAAGCCGAGATCAATCCTTTCTACAGGAAAAAGCCGAGAAAAACACTAGATTTCAGGCTTATACAAAACCGTCTCATCACCGTCACACCTCAATTGAAAATTCACGGTATGGCATTATTCTTTTTAAATTGCCTCTCTCTAGTCTGCCTTTTGTTGTTGATTTTTCATTTTCTTCAACAAAATCTTAAAGTTTTCTCTGAATCTCAGTTTTAATTCTTAGATTTTCTCTTTCATTTGTTTTCAAATTTTGTCCATATAATTTTCATTTCCAAGGAATATTGGACAAGGAGAGTGATTGTATCTTCATTATGAAGAAATTCTATTGGTTTTTATATTGGCAGACATGTATATTTGTAAAAGATTTAGTGATTAATTAGTTTGTCATTTTCTTTCCATTTTACTCAAAAACTGATTTTGAAATATGAGCTGAATCTAGTCTCTAGTTGCATCATATCCTTCTCTTTTATGAAAAGAAATTGCAGCTTTGTAGTTGGTTTTGACAGTTGAGTCTATTGAGGGATAATAGTGAACTAATTAAAGTGTTACAATTCTGTATGACATGATTATTATCTTGGCTTCAATAGGAGTAAGTGAAACACTTTGTTAAATGGGGTTTGTCTCAGGGCCATTTGTTTCATGCTATTACTTGGA